GTTATATAAAAAAAAATTTCTTTTTTGATCAAACATTGTTTTTGGACTCAAATCTTGATTTATGATTTCATTTGAGTGATTTATTTTTATTTGAAAACTTTTTTCATGGTTCTCATGTTTTCCTCATTCCTTTGTTTTCATAAATTTATTCATCATGGTTCTCATGTTTTCCTCATTCCTTTGTTTTCATAAATTTATTCATACATGATTTTTATGTTTGAGTAATGAGACATTATTTCATAATGTTCCTTTGTTTTCATAAATTTATTCATACATGATTTTTATGTTTGAGTAATGAGACATTATTTCATAATGACATATTAATATGTGTTCTCGTTGTCTTGTTTGTATGTGAGTTATATTTAGCATATCTTTCATTTATGCTTACTCACATGTTTTTGCCTTAGCATTCATTTCATATATCTATTAAGTCATTTCGATAGGGAGAGCAATCTCTATACTTGTTTTATACTCACCCATGCTCATATGTAGGGGGAGCTTTCGCTCTCTTCATTCTTGGTGTTTTCACCCATGCTCATATGTAGGGGGAGCTTTCGCTCTCTTCATTCTTGGTGTTTTTCCCTTTTTGATGTTATCAAAGGGGGAGAAATATTATGAGTACCCTTTTTGATGTTATCAAAGGGGGAGAAATATTATGAGTATAGCCTTTCTTGTTTATATGCATGATAAATCTAATTTATATATTCATTTTTTTCATGCATATATATCTCTTTGTGTAAATTGTTTGTCATCATCAAAAAGGGGAAGATTGTTGGCCTTCTTATTTTGATGATGTTTAACAAATAATTTACGACTAATATTATTTGTCTAGTGTTTGTGTTTATCTATTTATTGTAGACAAATAATATGTTGGAGGATAGATGGAATTGCGCTTCAACGATCATATCCAATGGAGGTTGGCGGAATTATGGAGTGAAGCCTATGCAATTCAAATTGAAGATCCAAGTTCTAGCCTCATCCGCAAGTGTACCAAGTTGAGCTATATCGAAGATCAATCAAGCTTGGATAACATTTAGTTTAGGTGTTGTGTTATGTGTGTTGATACTTTAAGCTCAATCATATATACACACACATTTTATTGGTTTCTATGTATATATATAGTTATATATATACATACATGTTTTTTTAGTTTTTATGTTTATAAATATGAAACTATATATTTCATATTTACTATTGTGTTTTGGTTTAACTACATAGATATGAAACAACAAACAAAATTATTCATATTTTTATTTGTTTCATATTCTATTGTATTTTAGAATTTATTGCATACAATATGCAATTTTGAGAAAATATTATTTTCTTGGTTTATGGACTTAACAATAATCATATACATCTTTTATTAAGTCTAAAAAAGTATTTTGTAATGTTTAAAAACATGGTTTAGCCAAAATGTCAAAATTCATATGTTTACATTTTCATGTTTTGAACTATTTTGTAAAATGATAATATTTATTATTTGGGAGGTCCTTTTGAAAACTAGTTTTTGTAGCATATGTATTATCATGTCTACAATCATTTTCTAAAGTTTTACATTTTTCTGAATTTGTTTGATATTTTTAAATAGGGTTTTAAAATCAGAAAACTGTTTTCAAACATGGAATATCTGAAATACAGTTCGCGGTCGACCGACCTTGGCGCTGTGGTCGACTGCTGATGGTCCAGAGACTCAGCTCTGTTTTTCAACAGCTTGCGGTCGATCGCCCTTGGCGCTGCGGTCGACCGCTAATTTGCCAATTTTTCTAGAGACTGCTTTTATTTTTTATCAAATCGCGATAGACCGCCCTTGGCGCTGCGGTCGACCGTAGAAAATCTAGAGAGTCAGCTTTGTTTTTTAGCTGTTCGCGGTCGACCGCACTTGACTCTGTGGTCGACCGTGACTTTTCCAGTTTGCCATCCCAACAGCTAGTTTTTCCCGTGGTCGACCGCCAGTGGCTCTGCGGTCGACCGCCGATCAATAACGACTATATTTCGTCGACCGCCAGTGGCTCTGCGGTCGACCGCCGATCAATAACGACTATATTTCTGCACTTTCCAGATTTAGTGGGAATTGGGTTTTTGGTCATTTTACTTGGGTTTTTGCTGATGTTTTAGGTTCCTATAAATACCCCCTTGCTCTCATCTTTTATATCAACTAATGAAATGTTTTAAACAAGTTTAAAAGAGTTTTAAACAAGGGTTTAAGTTTGTTTAATGTTTGTTTAGAAGCTTTTAAGCAATTGAGGGTTTGAGTTTATGAAATCAATTCTACAAGAGCTTGAGTAGATCATCTATTGGAGTTTGAGCATCCAACTATTTTCCCTCTATCTCTTGATCCATTGAGAAGTTTTCTAAATTCTATTTCTAGCTCTTTTATATATTTGATTATCATTGTTATTAAGCTAGAATTATATTGAGTTTAGTTTTGATTTATTTTATCTCTTTGTACACACACAACCATTGAGCTTATTGTATTTGCATACATTGTGTAATTGGGTTGTGGGTTTGTGTGACTTAGAGAGTGAGCTTACAATTCGTTCTCATCCATTGTAGAGAACAAACACTTTGTATTTGTGCTTAAATTGTGAGGTTCACCTTGTAATACACTAGTACACCAAGAGGAGAGTGTGGTGAGAGACGGGGTCGTCCTAAGAGGAGTAGGGTAGATGGTAATGCCTAGAGGTAGGTTATAATTCCTAACACTTGAGAGAGACACGGGCTAGAGACCAATGCTTGAGATAGTAGTTAGTATAGTTACATTGTGAGTGTGGATTGTAAAGTTTTTGGTTAGCTAGAAAACCATATTGTGAGGTGTAAATGTTTTTCGGGTAAGCGTAGAAAACCTAGTTGGGATAGTGGAGATCTCCTCGAGGTGAGGAGCGGGGACGTAGGTCGTGGGGACCGAACCTCGTGAACATATCATTTGTTTGTGATTGTATTGACGCACTTTCTTTTGTGTTTATCATTATATCGCCTTTGTCAATTACTCATTGTTTATATTGCCCACTATCTTATTTATCTTGTTTATAGATTGTTTACCCTTGTGTTATTTATATATTCTTGCATATATTTCCCCATATATCTCATTGCTAGGATATATCCATTTGTTCATATTGCATATTCTTGCTCATATCATATTGTATATCTATCTTGCAAGAATAATTATTGAATAAGTTTTAATTGGCATTTAAATCGGATTAGATTAGCATAAACCCTATTCACCCCACCTCTAGGGTTCTTTCCTAGTGGCATTAGGGTCTAACAATACGACAGTGGAATGATCTAGCAAAGCAATCTGGGGTGAAGGTTTATAATTGTGGTTTGGAGTGTGAATATTTTACTTATATGACTGATGAAAATCCAGGAAGGAGGTTCTAAAAATCCCGCAATCAGCATGTAAGTTAATTTTACTTCCTCATTTGTTGCAGTAATCAACAGCAGTTTTTACTTGGAAGTTGTAATTTTTTGCGCATCTCACTTGATCATGGTCTCCTTTGATTTTTGAGTAATGATAGGCTGGTGGTTGTGACATTTGAGAATGGATTGACAAACCAATGTGTAGTGTTGAATGTCAATTGTTTCCGCTTCTAAGAGAGGAGATCAATGGTTTGAGGAATATGTTGCTGTTGAAGGAGGAGTTACTTCAAAGGTGTGAAAATCAGCTAAGAGGATGCAATGAGCACATTTACAAGCTTAAAGCGGATGTCGAATTGTCTCAACATGAGGCTTCTTCTTGTTTGGAAGAAGTGCAGAAAATGATGAAAGAAATATTAGAATTGCACGCAAAGATTACAGAAGAAAACATGATTATTATGTTTATTTTGTTATTAAGAATGTTTACACTCTGTTTAATTTAGTATGTTGTAAATGTGAAAGTGGTTGTAATGTGAATAAAGCACTATATTTTGACAGAGTGGTATATTAAACTCCTAATGTGTGTTGTTGATTGTGCATGAATAAATGAACTTTCTGTGTTGTTATATACAGGCATGAATACATTGTCAAGTTGATAGATTGGTATATTAGCCTCCTTGTATGTGTTGTTGTTGTGCCAAAATGCACATGACCTGGTGCAATGACTTGTATAACCAAATGTACATGACCTGGTTCAATGACATGAATTCAATTGTACCTGTTTGACCCATATTGCACATGACTTGGTTCAATGATGTCAATAAAGCTAGCGGCATTAAGTAGACATATAAACTTTAAACCTGTCAATGTATTGAACATCCAGAATACTATATGTATTAGATAGAACATGCCCATAAACTACTGTGACACATAACAAAACACAAAATACCAAGTGCATGTAAGTTACAGAACTTTATCACATAACATAACACAAAATACTAAATAGAACATGGCCAGATAGAACTGATCAACCCATTTAAACACAAAATACAAAATAAAAAATTTGTCCTAAAATACATTAACAAGAAAGTAACAACTTTGTCCAAAAATACATTAAGTAGACAATAACAACTTTGTCCTAAAATACAAAACACTGGTTATCTAGTTGAGTTAATCACACGACTAATTCCTAAGAGGGTGCACTCTGTGAGGATGGTGCATTAGGTGTCAATTGTATCATATTTACTTGACTGTCAATAAGAGCTCTAAATGCCATTTCCCCCTTGTGGTCCTTGCCACAAACCAAACCCTTCTGGTATCCGTAATTGACCTGCACCACCTCTCCTTCAACCTCTCCCTCTCCCTCTCCCTCCCCCTCATCTTCCTCTTCCTGCCTTAGTGCTGGTTGTTGGAGCTTTGCTTCTTCTTCAAAGGATAATGGATGATGGTGTTGGAGCATTGCTTGGAGGCATGTCACCACATCTAATTTTGTTCAGGCTTCCCTTTGGCCTCCTATTTTTCCTCACTTGAGATGGTCCTTCATCAGCTATTGTTCCTTGTGATTCCTGCAAGAAGGCTCAGGTAAGGCTTAAATTGTTTAATCAACTGTAAATACAGCTACAAAAAAATAAGCTTACTTGTGTAGCTTATTGCCTTGGTGGTGCAGTGTGACACTTTCTCCATGTACGTTCACTTGATTCACAATGGGTGCATCTCAATTGCACACCTTCCCTTGATGCCTTAAATGGATTTCTTGGACCTTCTGAAGGGTTCCTCCTTCTAGCTAGTTTGGGCCTTCCTATTGGCTTCCTAATACTATGAGGAGGCAACATAGATCCCTCCTGTTGAAGGTCCCAAAATCTGGTACCTTGCACAGGGTTTAACAAGCTCTCATAAGCATTTGTGTAAGCTTCACTTTTGTACCAATGAGCAACAAAATCTTCTGGATTCTTTCTCATGAACAATATTGCACTAATGGCATGAGGACAGGGAATTCCAGTCAAGTCCCAAACCCTACAAGAACAGATTTTTTCACCCAAGTTAACCTTATGGACAATCCCTCTGTGATGTATCTCAAATCCACTATAGTCATTTGTTCCCGACAACGTGTTTGACAGTGCAATTTTTCTTAGTATCCCTCTTTGATTTTCTTGCTTATTCTAGGGGCAATCCCACCCACAAATTGCGTAATCAACTTCCTTTTTAACTGCATCCTATCCATCATAGCAAGTCTAATGTCTTCTAGCATAGAAATTATTGGCTTGTATCTTGCAAGAAGGATGAATGAGTTGAAGGTTTCGGACATATTGTTGTCAACACTATCACATTGGCTATGACATTTAAAATGGGACTTACAAAAGGTATGAGGATCCCTTGCTATGAAGTCGACGTATGCCCTTTGAGAGTAATCCTTGAGTTTGTCAGGCTCTCTTGCAAAATCCCCCATGGAGGTTGCCTTCACACAATACCAAAATTGTTTTTGAAGAGTTCTTCTAGTATGTTCTTTCCTCCAATTGGAATAAGTGTGTCTTGCACATTGCCTATGCTCCACTTGGGGACAAACTTCATGCATAGCTGGAACTAAACCCTAGTTAAACAAAAAACATATCCATATATGTAAACATGTAGCCCAGATAGAGATTAAATTGAATATGATATGAAATGATCCTTACCTTTGTTGGTCTGAAATTACAGTCCATCCGTCTCCCTCTCCCATGTTGAGATCACTAGATAAGATTCTCGTAAACCATTCTCAAGAGCTCCTGGTTTCACCCTCCACAACAGCCTATGCAATTGGCCACATCTGATTATTGCCGTCTCTCCCCACGGCACTTAGCAATTTCCCACCACATACATGTTTAAGAAAGCACCCATCAAGTCCAAATATAGGTCTATAATTGTTGGTGAACCCCCTTTTCATGGCTGAGAACACAAGAATGTATTCAGTATGGCCTAAAAAATATGCACATATAAGCTTTGATAAAACTTCAAAATTTTCTAACAAACACTTAAACTTTACCTGCAAAGCACATATAGAATCTTTGAAAGACCCCTGATTCTGATGAGTCCCTTTGATCTGTGACCTTCAGAATGCATGTAGTTCCATCATTACTCCTTAAGAGCTCTGTCATGATGGCTTTAACAAGCCATATTGCTTCTTAAACAAACCATTTACTAGATTCAAAACCCTACTCTTTGCCCTTCTACATTTCCTTAAATCCACTATGATCTCATATTGTTTTTGCATTTCTGCTTTCACGTCTTTAGGCTTGAACTTAGGATCCCTCAAAAAGTTGTCAATAAATTTTCCAGCAAGCCAACCTTCAGTGATTAGCCTATTGTTGAATGTCCTGCTACAAGTATGATAAGAGTGCATACTATTGATTTTCCAAGCACTAGCATCATCACGACATGGTATAACATTTAGCTGCTAATGACAGAGTGCACAATTCACATTCAACTACCTATTATCATTTTTTCCATGAACAATGTCATAGTGTTCTTGTATGGAGTAATTCAATATAGCTTCTTTTAATATTTTTCTTGACGTGAACTTGAAACCTACTGTCAATTTAACATTTTTTATATCAACTTCTTCATTAAAAAATGGATACTTGACCTTTGATACTTTATTTTGTAAACTTTGGACAAGAGTTTCATCCTCATCACTTACCATTATGGGACCTTCATCACCACTTGATCTAGGATCTGATTCATATCCACCATCATAATTTGTACAAAAATCTAGCCATGATTGTTGTTGTGGTTCAGTGATTGATGGCCCAGGTTCGTCAACTGTGTTGTCAGCTCTTGAATGTACTCCTTCATGAGGTAATGTTAATACATTAGCATTAACCACTCGAGGGGGTATGATAGTGTCACTCATGGAGTTACCTGCATCAACACCCTCTCGCAGTAGTGCACCAGAGTTTAAAGCAATGTTGCCCATCTCTTTACTTAGAATCTCCTTATTACATTGCCTAATCTCATTCAATTCCTCATCTTTACTACATATAGCAGCTTGAAAGGAATCATCACTGTGGGCACATTCATCCTCATTCACTGCCTCCCTATCTTCCTAGCCTGCTTTAGGCACACTCTCATTGCCCTCCACGTTCACTGCCTCCCTAGGTTTATTATTTGGTTCAAGCACACTCTCATTGCCCTCCACATTCACCGCCTCCCTAGGTTCATTATTTGGTTCAGGCACACTCTCATTGCCCTTCACATTCACTGTAGGCACCATCATCCTCTTTCTCTTGCACAATTTTCTTTTTTTTCTCTTGCCATTATTGCTAAACTCATCAAATAGTTTATCTTCATCAAAGTCATCATCTACAAATGCCTCCCTAGGATCAATTCTATAATTCTAATCCTCCACAGAGTCGTCACTATCACTAGATGGACTTGACTGCTATTGTGCATTTAATGGTTCATCTAAAGAGGCTGAGGCAGTTGCTACTTGTTGTGGCAGGGTTTCACTGGAGGTTTACAGCTTGGTTGCCCTCCTAAGTGTTAGTTTCTTCCTAGAGGTTGAAGGATATGTTACCTTACTCTTGGGTGTTGCTTTCTTGGGTGTTCATTTCTCATTGGCACTAGCAGTAGCTTTCCTGGGTGTTGATCTCCTAGGTGTTGTTACTGTCCCCTTCTTTTTAGGAGTGGTCGCTTGTTGCATTTGCACATCTTCTTGTGCTTCAACTAGTTGAGTCTATGAATCATAAATTGCTTGACTCACACCTTCTAACAATAGCACATCACAGTCTTCCATAATAACTTCTGCAGGTTCATCAATGGCATGATCAACATAGATTTTAATTGCCTTCACCCTTTCCGCATGTTCTAACATTTTAATTAAGGAACCTTCAACATTTAGAGACCTCAATCCACCATTTGCAACCCCTACACCAGGAACACAGTAGAACAAGTCATTGATATTGTTATACCCAATTGCACTAACCTCATCCATCAATCTTTCTATGCTCAGATCCTCTTTGTCTATAAACCTAACATCAAATCTACCACCAACATAATCTTTAACCCAGCCCATTGGGAAACTTCCTCCATGTCTGATTTTAATCAAGATTTGGAGACCCATCTGCAATATCACAATAAAAACCCTAATTTACACTAAACCCATCAAATCTACCCTAATTAGCTGAGACGGTCAGAGAGAGAATGACAAACCTCGATTAGATACCATACTTTAGAGTATACTATTGTAATAGATGCAGGTGAACCGAAAAGTTTCTATGAAGTACAAGTTCATGATGATTGTGCAAAGTGGAAGAAAACTATGCAAGAGGAGATGGATTCTTTGCATAAGAATCACACTTATGACTTGGTAGAGCTACCTAAGAACAGAAAAGCCTTGAAGAACAAATGGGTGTTCAAAATCAAGAATGAAGGAAATGGTCAAGTCAAGTACAAAGCTCTCCTCATGGTGAAAGGTTTCAGTCAAAAGTAAGGTGTTGACTATGAATAAATTTTTTCTCCTATTGTAAAGATGTCTTCAATTTGGGTTATTCTTGGTCTTGTTACTTCTCAGGATCTTGAAGTTGAACAGTTAGTTGTGAAGACATCATTCCTTCATGGTGATTTGGCAGAAAAAATTTATATGGAGCAGCCAGAGGGTTTCAAGGTAAAAGGCAAAGAACACTTGGTTTGCAAATTGATGAAGAGCTGGTACGGACTCAAACAGGCACCTCGACATTGGTATAAAAGGTTTGATTCTTTTATGCTTGACCATGGGCAAAAGAACATCTGCAGATCATTGTGTTTATGTCCAAAGTTCTCAGATGATGATTTCATTATTCTCTCTTTATATGTTAATGATATGCTTGTTTTTGTAAAAGATATGTCTAAAATTGATAGGTTGAAGAAAGAGCTGAGCAAGTCCTTTGACATGAAGGACTTAGGAGCAGCACAACATATATTGAGAATGAAGATTTCTCAAGTCAGAAGTGCGAGAAAGTTGTGGCTATCACAAGAAAGATACATTGAATGTGTTCTGGAGAGGTTCAATATGTTAAACTCTAAGCCAGTCAGCACACCGCTAGCAGCTCATTTTAAGCTAAGCACACAATAAAGCTGTAATGACCGTAAAATTTTGATACTAGTTAAAATAATTTTTTGATATTTTAAAATATTTAATTATTATTTTTAAAAGAGTATTTTTATTTTTTTTTTATTTTCTAGAATTTTCTATGATTTAAAAGTCTAATTTTTATACTTATTTAAATAATTTTGATACTTATAAATTAACTTAGTGTAGTGAAAATTTCTAGAATTAATCTGTTGTGTTGTCGATACTATTACATATCATTTTGAATAATACGTTGTATTATTTTTACTATTACATATTATTTTTTATAATACGTTGTATTATTATTACGTATTATTTTATACAATTTGTTGTATTATTACCATTATTGCATATTATCTGTTGTATTAGTATAATTGGTACGTTTTATTATGTAGATAATTTTCCTATAATTATTTGATTTTAAATGTAAGTAATTATATTTTTTATTACTTATTCTCATTTATTTGTATAATTTGTTGTATTATTATTACTATTACGTATTATCTGTTGTATTAATATAACTGGTACGTTTTATTTTATGGATAATGTTTCCATAATTATTTGATTTAAAATGTAAGTAATTATATTTTTATTAATTATTTTCGTTTAAATACCTAACCCTAACCCCTATATATGTATACTTTTTTTTTCATTTTCCCTATTCATTTTTCACGTGACCATCACCTCACACATTCCTCTCTCGTTTTCTTTCTCTCTCTCTGTCACGTCCTGCTTCCCAAAATACCTGGAAATCGGAACGTGAACAAGCCCGCGGCATATTAGATTGAGGAGTAATATATACTAACTTTTTTTTCTTTTTCTTTTCTTCTCAATCTAATACGCTAAGCATCAAGCAAAAGAATATCAGTCACAGGTCCCCGATCATAATAGAAAGAATATAATAACAACCCAGAATAAGAAATAGACATATCATCAAAAGTACATCATCCGAGATATAAAATACGGGTCAAACATGCCCTTATACATGACTGAACAACTGAAAAGTGAAGAAATATAAAATACATCGTTCAACGGAAAAGAAAGGAAATATTGCAAAAGATAAAATAAGGACTATCAAATAAGAAAAGATAGCTGAGATTCGGCCTATTCTTCAACTCTGTCTGCAAGGCACTCATGCTGAGAATACTCAGGCTCTAGCGTGTTTCCAAACTGGACATGTCCGTCCTCTAAATCTGACGTACTCCAGAGAAAATAGGTGTACGTCAGCGTGCATGGACACGATAAGATCCCACAAGGAAGGATAGAACGATCGAAAGACCAAAGCAAAAACGGTAATAATAATAATAGAACATGCAACTGGAATACTAATAATCTAAATATAATTCACTACTAGAATATAATAATCAGATGATTCCAAAATTGATAGGGTAATGAGATCATACAGCTAGAGATCAGACTAATCATCCAAGTAACACGGTCATACACTAGATGGAATTAATACGTAAAAATCTACAACTCGAGACGTAGTACATCGAGCGAAATAATCCAAACAAGGAAACACTCATGTATATACCATATGTATCAAATTGTAGATAATTAAATATTAATTCTGATCTATGTATGAAAAGAAATACAATTGGTCTACATCTCACAAGAATTTATACTTAGCCAAG